GGGGGGGGGGGGGGGGGTGTACTGCATTTTGGGGGTACTGCCTCTCCCACGTTTGAGAGTCTTCGCACCACGAAACGTCGAAATACAACTTTTTAGTATTGTTGTTTGTATAATGGCAAATTTACAGTTACAACTTTTAAAAGCAGAATTGAGTGAACAGTAGTTGATCATGAAATTATGCCCAATATTGCACTAAACACTTTGACAGAATTTGTTTTGCAAAATTTATTAGTCGGTCCAAATGTTTTATGTCCGTGATATCTGGCTATGATTTTTAAACTTTAAAAATACCAGATAACTACATGATTAAGGTTGTATCTTAATTGACCATCAAATTTTTACTTTATTACTCATAAATATTAAGTTAAATTAAGGAGTTGATGTAGTCAGTTCTAGGTCCCCTGAATTCTAATGTATTATTTTTTGACAATATGGACACTGAAATCTTAGACAAAACTTATGCGGGCAATGTACTTGAGCCCGCAAACTCAAGCAAGTATTTGTCCGCGTTTTACAAGCGATTCGTCATCAATCACGCCATCCTGGCTAGTACAACCGGCACTTTGTACCTACCAAAACCTGATAAAAATTTCCGGTTGTACTAGCCAGGATGGCGTGAGCGAGTTAAAATTTTCGTGGACATAAAACAATAAGGGAACCGACTCGAGTTACACTTCTGCTGTACCTTCCTATTCTAATTGTGTTGCAACTCCCCTGTACAATGAGGTTTGACTTCATGCTCAGACATCAAGTAACTTTGTTTGAGAGGAGAGTCAGAGGGAATGATATGGCAATAAAAATTAACTTTGTCTTACTTGAAAGAACTTTTAAAGTTATATATGAAGAACCTTTACAACTTTTTAGTATCTTGCTTAGTTTTTGAAATATGTTGACCAAAAACAGTGTGCAGTCCGCCATCTTGGTGTTATAATTGACCTAATTTAAACTGAGTTCTCAGTGAAATCACAAGCAGAGTAAACTTGTTAAAACTTCTTCATGTGGGACTAAATTTCTTAGTTGAGTACTAAAAAGACTTCGGAAATTCGAGTTTCATATTAATAATGACATGTGGTTCTTTTACCCTACTTATGACGTATGCATATTGAATGAATATCCAAGATGGCGGAATGCACGCTGCTTTTGATCAAAATAAGTCGACTTATTTCGAAAACCAAGCAAGATACGGAACAGTTATAAAGGAAGTTTATATATCATTGCTCTGGGTACGAGATTGATCAACGTCCGGCAAAATGTCCGCCCTCCCAACTTTGTTTTGCCCAGTCCTGGCGATCAACGATGGCTCTGGGCACGAGATTGGACGTTGATGGAAATTGCCATTATCACGAGTTATGAATTTTAGGCAAATAAAAGGAACACGTCTCTATATTGTTGAGACGTGCGCAAATACAAAGTCAAGCTTAAAAAGATAAAATACGGCAGGATTAGCAAATTGCCAGATTTTTAATTAGAATCTGCCCCGCTATAAACACTGACTTGGGCCTGCAGTCCTCTCTCGTTGCAGTGGCCACCTATCAATTATTTTTTCAGGGAGGGAAATCTATATCCCTAAAACATGCATGTCTTCATATCCTAATTAAGATATTTCTGCGATTCCCCGTTGGCAAAGGCAACATAGATAAATCAAAGATTGTTTTTGATGTTGATGTTCAACACTCGCCCTCGCTTTACGTCAAGACACTTCTGGCACTTAATACAGGAATTGACAATCAGTCAGCGAGACGACGGAGGCTGAAATGAGTACAGTGTATAAACTGAACTCATGAAATGCAGACGCACTAGAACTATAGCCCCTGAGAAGACCCGGAGCAGTTTTAAAGCGACCAAAATTAATTGCCACAAAACGTAAACGTAATTTCCGGCCAATTAATTTCGGCCATTTTTCACGGGTTTTGTGAAAGTAGAAAGTTTTTAAATGCAAGTTTTCAAGACACTTTTTAGTGAGTTTAAAGAAGACGACGTATTTCATGGTCAATAAAGTGCCTATAGGCTGACACAATATTATATGTACTTTTCGAGAAAAAGAAGAGCTGATCAGAAACATAAAATGAATAAGAAACGAAAACGGAGATCAATATAAGATCTGCATTGTGTGATAGACATTAGCCGAATTCATATTGGGGGCGGGAAACTCGTCTTAGACGGGAAACTCGTCTGTCAAAACCCGTCTGAATGTGAATTTAAGGACGGATAAATTCGAATTTAAGTGACGAGTTTCCCGTCTAGATGGGATTCCCGTCTAACTTTCCCGTCTGTCTGGACGGGTAAGTTATAGACAGGAAAGTTCGGACGGGAAACTCGTCTGCCCCCGGATTTATATTAGACGAGTTTCCCGTCTAAGACGAGTTTCCCGTCTCTAATATGAATTCGGCTATTATACCGCCAGAGAACGTGTCGTGTGGGAAACAGTGGACACCACAGTAGCTGAGAAGTCGAGAAGATATGAAGGAAATTAATAGAACGAAGCTAGGATCTAGGGATCATAAGAATGTTTGGAGTGATACTCGAGTTCATTGCGGCACACAAAACGAGGAAGCAAGCAGGTCCGCGTTAACGCAGTGGCAGAAGCCGCATATATACCTCGCGTCTTCAAGGCAAAATAGAAATAAACTGGAAAAAAGTTAATGTACCAGCCACACGTCATTACTACTACACTACACTACGCCACTGCTGACTGGCTGATTAACTAGCCAGAGGAGCTTTGGCGTAATTGGGGCAGCGCTTTAATAGGACGAAACATTCCACGCCCTCCGTCCACAGGTCCACATCAGAGTAGTAAATGCATTAAACTAAAACTGGGGCTTTGTCTGAATTGCTTTGTGCGAATTCTTCTTTATGTATGATCAGTTCCACTGGATCATTCACTGGACCATTCACTTTTGAAGAGTGACAGACCAATAGTAAATGTTATAACTATATCAAATACGTTACTGTAATTACATCTTTAAAAAAAAGCTACCATAATTCATAAAAACTGGTTAATTAACTTTTTAAGATTATACAGTAGAGCAAGCAGAAGGGGCCCCGCGGGTTAACGCGGCCATACGTGGATGAGAAAGCTGAGGCTATATAAGCGGCCTTTTATGGGATGATCAGATTTGAAGAATATGTGAGGCATAGACATGAGAAAGAGACTAAAAGAAGAAAGGCTAGAATTGCATTGACACGTGTATAATAACAAGAAAAGTCGACGTAGGCGATTTCTTGAAAATGGAAGTAGCAAGTTTCTTCAAACAGGGCGTAAGGTGCACTACAAACAGGACGTAAGGTACGTCTACGGCAAAACTTGATTCTGAACCGCTGCACCACACATGGAAGAGTGGCAGAAAGAAGAGCCGACAGCATGGCCATGGTAGAGCAAGTTTCTTCAAACAGGGCGTAAGGTGCACTACAAACAGGACGTAAGGTACGTCTACGGCAAAACTCGATTCTGAACCGCTGCACCACATATGGAAGAGTGGCAGAAAGAAGAGCCGACAGCATGGCCATGGTAGCAGACGATTGGAAGCAGAAAGAAGAGTCGACAGCGTGGTAGCAGGCGATGTCAGAAATAATGAGGCAAGAGATAAAGGAGAGCAAAGATATGGAAGACCATAGCTAGATGATTATAAGCCATTCTCATTTCGCCATTTTTGGTTGGCAAACACTAAATCACTCTTGTTTTTCATCTTTTGTTGTTGCGCGGATTGTCGTAAAAATGGCAGACTAGGCCAGTGTTCACAAGGTGTGAGACGGACGCCTGATTTCGTAGCAGGGGAAAAACCCATGTTTCGGTGCACGAGTCCACATTTTCCACGACTCCACGAGTGAAAGCCAGATTATATTATGTAACAACACGAGAGACAGCGAGACGGCTGCGAGGCAAGCACTTCAAAACCACACTGTCGCCTGTAATTTATTTAACGAAATTCCAGTGTTTCCGGCCTGTCACTTAGGGCTTATCACGCGCCTTTGAAGGCAGTCTTTTTTATTAAAGTGCTCTTTTCTTTTTATACTTGGCAAATAGTTTAAGCAGGAATTTGTATTTGGGCGAGAATATCGTCTAGTTGTCTGCCTTCCGAGACATCGTCTCGACATAGCTAGAAATAACAGACTGTCTTGCTTCAGTTCGGATATTGTTTATCTTCAATGTACGTCATTCGAAGATGTTTTTATTAAATCTCATGCTGATAATGCCCTGTGGCTGTTTGTGTTTGAAAGTTCTATTGTCAGCTGGTGGTTAGGGCTTTCGATGTTGATATAATATCATAATATGCGTGCGAAGGAGCAATTGGTACAAAAATGTACAAATTTAATCAACTTTTACATATGAAAGCTGCAAACATTTTAACTACAAACATATTTTCGATATTACCGTGACACTGTCTTCAGTACAAGATTAAGCCATGCAATATTTTACAATATATATATCTTCTTGGCTTAATTATGAGCTACAATATTAAAATAGGCCTAATATGGCTACAAAACGTAAATACAATGCCTACTATAATGGTGGCAAATTAAAGACAATGCCGATATGTTATTTGTCATTTTCATGATGAAAATTCATCATGAGTTTTGGGAGATCCAAGGCAAAAACCTGTCTGTTCAGGCAACAAAATTGCAAAAATATGAAATAAAACAAATCCAAGAAAACATCAT